ATATATATATATATTATTATATATAGTCCCGTGTCCCGTGTTATCCCCCCCCTATGGGATGGGGGGGGTATAGTGCCCCTATGGTAGTCTATATATATACATATTTACATACCTATATACCTACCTACCTACCTACATACCTACGTACCTACGTACATACATACATACATACCATTACATTACCTTACCTTACATTACCTTACCTTACCTTACATTACGTTACCTTACATTCCATACATACATACATACATACATACCATTACATTACATTACCTTACCTTACATTACCTTACCTTACATTACCTTACCTTACATTACCTTACCTTACATTCCATACATACATACATACGTACGTACGTACGTACGTACGTACATACATACATACATACCAACATACCAACATACCAACATACCAACATACCAACATACCAACATACCAACATACCAACATACCAACATACCAACATACCACCACCACAGGCCACAGGGGGGGGGACCAGAAGAACCATACCACCACCACAGGCCACGGGGGGGGGGACCAGAGGAACCATACCACCACCACAGGCCACAGGGGGGGGGGGGACCAGAAGAAACTCCAGGACACACCACAGGCCACAGGGGGGGGGGACCAGAGAACCAGACGAACTGTACACCATAACCATTGGTGGGGGGGGAGGGGGGGTGGCCAACGCTGCACCATATATATAAATAATATTAAAAAAATATATTTATATATATATATATTAATTCCAAATAAAAATAATATAAAAATAAATACAAAGAAAATAATAAATTAAATAAAAGCATATATAATTTATTTGTGTTTTTTTCAATATTTATATATATAAATTATAATCGTAATTATTTATTTCGAATATTTTATTTATAGGAATTTAGATTTTTAAAAATATTATAATTAAAAATATTAATTATATATTCTAAATATGTATTTTAAAATATACTTATATAAAATTATAAAATTATTATATTTATATATGTATATATGTATTTATATTATAATATATTATATATGTATCAATAAATTATTAATATATATAATATATTCCTACGCCCCCTCAACCCCCTTTCATGGTTATGGACATATGTGCACCTATTGGATAGGTCAGGTAATATATAGGTAGTAAATCTTATATAAAGGCATTATATAGTATTATATGGATAGCGCGAGGTTATCATATATACCATTTTAGATTTTCGCAGTGGCTAGTATATGTCTACAATAAAGGTATTGTATAAATAATACATAGGTTGCAAATTTCCTGCACTTTATTTGGGGTCTCTTATTGGGATGATAAAATGTATCATGATGCTAACATATTAATCATTATATATATATATATTTATTATATTATTAAAATAATTTATTATTATTATTATTATTTATATAGTCTTTCAATTATATACTATGTATTATTTATATCTATATTTATATAATTGTATTATGTTTTATTTGGACCATTTAAAAATGATCCAAGAATTTCCGCAGCCCATACCCTCACGAGATATTATGGCAGGATTGCAAAATATGGCGTGCCTGTGGCTGCTCAAAATCAGTGAATTGCAACGCACGGATAGGTATCAATACCTGCATGTGCGCCCTTGATGATAAATTGATCAATTTGAAGTCAATTTTGGGTTTAAATTAAATTATACCAGGCCTTCAATTTACCATCTGAAGATACATGAAAAAGAAATGTGTTTTACACCAGGAATTTCAGCTGCCTTTGCCCGTTCTTGTTGTTACTTTGAGGTTCAAAGTGTGCAAAATATCATCAGAATTGTCCACTGCCACAGCGCAAACCTTCTCTTCGCCACTGCGGCGGATGCTTCGGCCGTTGCCAGATGGATGTTGAAAGAAGAAAGCCCAGTTAGAGGCATGAACTGGTTGACAAGTTCAACCTCCCTCTATAATATTATCGATGTTGACAATATAGCTATATAGGAAGATGAAACGATGAATATACAATTAGACTTGTAACTGAGATTTAGGAACTAACTGGTATCATTCGATACCAAAACATGGATAGAGATCATCTACTTGTCTGAAAAGAGGGTACCCCAAAATCACATGTTTCATGTTTCATCATCATGTCCCTGCAATTTGAAGGTAGCCCTTTGCCCAAGTCCGAGACGGAGATTCCTGGAATCTGAAAGCCAGAGAAGATCTCTATCCCAAAAACGTTTCATAATGCCTGGTGCTATCGGGTGCAATGTGGTAAACCCAAGGATAACATACAATCATCATTCAACCCATATGGGCATGGTTTATAATGTCCCCAAATTCTGTATGAGTCATTGGGTGCAAAGGCTTATTCTGGGGGTTAGCACGGACCAAATTTGGCATTGACCGTATCGTGTACCAACCAAACAATGGCCTAAGTTCCTTTCGTGGCTCGGCCAAGAATATAGGCAATCTGGAGTGTTTAAGAAATGAATTAAGGTAGTGAAAAACAAACATGCTCAGTACTACAACATACTATATACAACAACCAATTCGCAGGTTTTCTTGGGCATCAAATGAATCTGATCATGTTCATTCGTTCTCCAAAACAAACACACCTGGAACCTGGGTTGGTGTAAAAGTCATCAACTTGCTACTTGGTCTATCTTCATTGTGGTCCTCCATTGACCAAAGATTTTTCAGCTCCCTCAAACATCCCTCACATGGAGCAGCATGGCCTGCTCCATGTGGGAGCAAACTGGCAGCAACCGGTCAGGGAAGCCACAGCAAAGAGAGCTAAATATGTAAAGGAACCAAGTCCCTCACATGTCGTTCCGCTCGTTGAGTTCACTGTCAACGTTGCATGCAACTGGGGTCAAGCCCGGGCTAGGCGACCGGCTTCTTCTTTGCTCAGGATTCTTGTACAGTACGTATTTCCAAGTCCTTTCTTTGCATTTACATTGGATATAAGATCAATCCATCCCATTCGACAGACACTATCAGCTGTGTGTGTGTGTGTGCGTGCGCACACACAAGGAAAAACGCCATCCCCTACCCGTCGTAAATCTGTATCACCATGATTCCTCCATAAACATCTTTAACACATCCATTTGCTACATGTGCTGCAAAAAAAGTCCCGGCAAACAGCAAATAGTAGGAAGCACCCTTGCTCCAGCGGCTCTAAAAACATTTGGTCAAGATGCACCAAATCGTCTCTGCGAGCGGATCTCGTTGCATGTTTTGTGCGTGCCAAACCCTCGTCTGGTGGCAAAGTCTGCCATCAAGGGTAGTCACAGCTGAAATTTGCTCCCAGAGTCATGGGATCTGGGCCTCCAATAGCAACTGCGGCTTGCCAAGCTGGATCCGAAGGTGGTTTTTGGGTCCAGCTGGTGTTAAACCATGTAAACCTATAGCTACAGTGGCAGCTACTTCAGACTCGACCATAGGTCAGTCAATTCCGGTCAGATCCCATGGCTGGAAGGCAGTAAGAAGCCAGACATTCGGCCGTTGGACTCATTCCAATGAGTGAGTCACTGATCAAAGATTGAAGTTCTGGGCGTTGCACAGAACACGACTTTCTCACGCTCTGTGGCATCCAAGCATACCACGGGTCACCAGGATCCCTGATTCTGTGTGGTTTTTGCATTCATTGAATCCGAAAAACTATGTTTTTTGGAAGTTCTGGTACTTGATTTCTGGAGCTTAGCCAAAATACGTTCATCTTCCTATGAGCTTGCACTGATGCACATAAAACCATCAAGGGGGTTTGCCACTTTCCACGACTCGCGTCGTCCTTGCACCCCGGTGCGCCCACGGGCGTCATTGTGGCGCATACCTGTCGCGCACAAAGTTCAGTGGGTCATGATATTTCTGGGGCACATTCATACCCATAGGATCCATGTATGCTATATATGGTGACATTTACCATCAATATACCCCAAATGTTAGCATATATACCATACATGGATCCTATGGGATATTATGTGGGGACCAATATTGTAGAGAATTCGCACACCTTGTTGGCATGTTGATTTCTTGATTTGGTCTAAGTATGTTTTGACTGAGAATGAATTCAATGGGCCAGTAACAGCTGACAGTTTAACAACTAACAACGTATTCACATACATATGCATATACATACACACATATGCCATATGTATGTCCTGGAGGTAAGTCCTTGAGTTATCAAAAACACTAGGACATGAAGACATTATATAAGCTGTTCAGCTTTTAACTTAAGTACACATATCAGGCAGCAACCATGTTTTGATATATCTCTTTTTTAATATCAGTTGATAACTTTCATTACTAATTACAACTGTCATTACTTGATTGAAGCTTCCCTTTGAATTTTACTATGACGAGTATGCAACATCTCAATGCTGTAAGTTGTTACATAAGTTGAAATTTCCGTAGTACGTTATGTTGACTTACTATTTGTCCGTCAAAAAGCACTGAAACTTATTTACTATACAATCGCTATAACAAGGTTCAAATTTGTCCTATCACCTGTCTGATAAACTTAAACAATATTATATATAACGCAGATTTTTGAATGTAAATAGGAAGAAATATGTAATAGATGCAAATTTATGAAAATAAATCTATATAGTTCAAGACGATTTATGTACAGCTCAGCAACTGTTTCTATGTAGTTCAACAAGGCCACAAACGAAGGGCCCATGCATCTACTAATTCATAGATACATAGTGATAATATAATACATATATATATATTATGTCTATGTATACATGCTATGTATATGCTACTACCCACCAGCCTCTATTATTCTTTGTTGCATGTTTTGAAAGCGATTCAGAAATGATCTCTGGGCTCAGAGTTTCTGAACTGTGACCACCGGTGACCGACATCGCCTTTTCAGGTGGTCTGAAGTCATCAAAATTTTCCCACAGAGCATTCCTCAGCCAGAGCACAGGACGACCGGCAGATGAAGAAACCATCGTTGGGATTCAGAACTGGCCTCGAAAACTGGATCAACGACTGAAGATTTACTGAAGCCCTGGGCAACTTACCTCCTAAATATGGTCAGTGGCCAACAAACATGTTCCCTTCCAACCAATTCAGGGATCAATATGTTGCTAACTGCACAGGTGCTTAGAAACTACCCTCTCCCAAGGCAAACCGAATTGAACTCCGAGGCATCTTTGCAGTTCGGTGGCCACCCCCGATAATGTTTGGGCTTATTCAAGGCTTACTAACCACCAACAACCACTAAGTCACTATCTAAAACCCATAATAATAGATTCTGATAATAAGGGTTTTAAGCCATCTATCAGAATCTATTATGGGGTCACTTTTGGAGTTGGTTGAATCCCCATAATCCTTGGTGGGGGATCATGTGGGAGACAAAATCGGTTTCTTTCTGAGACTTGTCTAATCTTGTCTATATAGTTGGAAATATTCGAAATTGCTGTTCATGCCATAGATCAGTGCAGCAGTGGCAGAACAAAAAAAACAAACAAATGATCTCTGAAGCCACGTTTATCAAACAATCACACTGAACTGCGTCTAATTTCCATCCGTTTGTGATCACATGTGGAGAAGAAAATTACCTGCACGTTGAAGGTTTCCGGCAAAAAGGGGGTACCCCACATCATTCAAGTCATTAGACCTAGACCATGATTTAATATTGAAACAACCATGGTGACTTGAGGATCCATGACAGAAACACCCACGTTGCATCACGTTGCTTTCACCCAGGTACTCGCTACTCTCATCGATCGTACCTCGGGGAAATCGAGTCACCCTAGGTGTCAATACCTAACGACCTAATAAACAAATGGTCGAAATTTAGATGATTTGGGGTGCCTCCCATTTTAGGAAACCTCATGAAACCTCCATATCGACCGTCGGATTTTTGTGTTTTTTCGTGTAGACACGCAACTGATTCTTTGATGAATGTAGAGAGCGAGAGAGGGAGATATTTTTCAATGCATACTCTGCATATGATGTTCTTATTGCACATGAATGTGGAAAAAGATACATATTTTAACATGTGTAATTTTCCTGTAACCATCAACATTCTACCGGAGAATCCACGGGAATCCGATCTGGATAGAAAAAACTGGTTCTGGGCGCCCACTTCACTTTCATAAAAAAAATTGGCACCACAAGATCAAACAGCTAAAAACACTTAAAAAAGAACCATCATCCAACATACTCGGACCATCTACTATTGACCATCTCCGGCCCTGAAAGATTGCCAACTGTCTTTTCCGTCTGTTTGTTTGACATTGTTTGACTGGCGTCTTTCCACCTTCCGACAGCAAAGAACCAAAAGCAAGTACAAACAACAGTACACGTGGAATTCTGGGTTTCAGATACTGGAAATTCATTCGCAAATCCAATCAAAGGCAGTTGTTGGCTTCCCTGACAAATGGTCAACCCAAAGAAGACAGAACTCAGGCACATGGATTTGTCCTTCTTCGTCTTCTTTTGCTCCGCCCTCTTCTTGGCCTTCGTCAAAAGCAGGCCGACATGTGAATCAAGACGATGTAGACTCGCCCCCATCAGCATCCCAAATTTGGTGCTGGAAAGCATGTTGCCACCGAAGAAAAACCACTAGTCGATAGGGATTATTTTTTTGAGGAGGAATGCGATGCATACATTTGTTCACTGATCGCACACACACACAAGTCAATAAAATTCCAGGCCGACGAATAACCAGCCCCAAGAATAAAGTCAACCAGGCGTGCCTTGAACCACCTGGGGAACCATAAATGGAGAACCTCATAAATAAAGGCTTTGAATTTCTCTGTGGGAATTTGGGGTAGTTTAAATTAATTACTACAATTATTGAAGTTCTCAAGTTGAAATCAAATTCAATTCAATCTCTGTTCAAACTCAAGTCCAATCAAATCAAGTCGAAATCAGTTTACATGTTTCCATCTCCATTCCCAGACAGTTTTCCATACATTTCTCAAACGTGTCTTCGTTTTCAATTGCTCAGTTTGTTCGGCCACACTAAAAGGGGCCCAACATTACAAGATATTACAAGTATGTATATGTTTTTGTATTCGCGTTCAATGAGGCAATTTGTTTGGCAGTGCTAAAAGGGTCCCAACATGACAATCATGTATATGTTTTTATTATGCAATTTTTCTCGGCAATATTAAACACCGGTCCCCCACAGAATTATGCAACCGCGTTCAATTAGGCAATTTATTCGGAAAGACAAACATGCCAAAGTTTGCCAAGGTCCCCAGACACCCGGTTGGCCGAAATTTTGTTTGGATGACGGCATGGTTTGAGGGTATTTTTGTTGACATGTATCAAATATATTCAAATATTGAAACCACCAACCAGAAATACTTGACAATTATCTGGCTGAATCAAAGTTCAATAACTTGAACACACCCTCTGGTAAACTAACATAGCTATTGAAAATGGCCATAGAAATAGTGGATTTACCCATTGAAAATGGTGATTTTTCATAGTTATGTAAACGTTTTCCAGGCCGGGTAAATAAAACTTAAATCGGCCATTGGGGGATGAATCCCCTGAATCCTCCGACACATTCCGACGTCCGTTCCGACGTCCGTGTCATGCCTCGGCGGCCGCGGCTTTCACGGCATCAGATGGCGCAGCTTTCTTACCGGCCGCCGCCTTCTTCTTCTTCAGGGCCTGGACGCGGAAATGTCCAGTTTTTAAAAGATGTCGATTCCGCCAGTAGCTCAAATTTGTTGAAAAACGATTTTCGGAAGGCAAATTTGGATGAAAGGTACTTCACGGCAATTTTTTACCTGAGTTGCCTGATGATTGCAATATTTCGATTGAGCAAACGTTGGGTGACACGTCACAACTGATGTGGCGGCAGTTCACAATTCATGCCTTGATGGTTTCATGAAACTGACACGCCCGCGCAGAGTTGCAAATAACGTTGGCGCAAACTGGGCGGCCTATGGCCATGACTCACTCATGATGTTGCATATGCTTTCGCGGTGCAAGAGAATTGTACACGGCAACTGTGTCATGACATGGATGTCATTAGCCAAACACACAATGCTCGCCTTCATTTTGTCAAAATCCCTTCCAATCAAGGCTAAGTTTTCACTTGATGCCGTCATCGACCTTTTTCACTAACCAAACCACTAAAAACAGCAAACCTGCAACCTTTTTCCTGAGCTGTTGTGCATAGGCGCACGCTACGCCCAATTTATCGTGAACCCTGAAAAACGCACACCTTGTCATGACCCATCCTGGTTGGTGCAAACACTTCAAACACCCGCCCCCAGTTGAACAACGACAGCTCAAGTTCCGCCAAACCGCGCCCAGCCTCTAAAGCTGCTTGCTTTGCCACTTCGTCCAAGACCTCAGGTTCAGAATGTGGGCTTTTTCTCTTGCAGCAGGGCGCGGAGGCTGGTAGCTGTCTGTCAGCCTTTTGGCAAGCAAAGAAGGGTTCCTGTTTTTGGGGCTAAGGCGCCATCACTTCACTGACTTTTGTTGCCAGAAACGCAGATACGTGCCAGCCGTCGAATCTAGAGCTCATTGCATGGAGCATGGGAAGGTTCACAAGTTGCAGGGAGTGTTGAATTTGAATGGTGTTTTTTTGCTTCCACACAGGCACGGCAAGCTGCAGAAATTGCTAGCGAACTAAATCATCATAGATTTTTCCGTGATTTCCAATGTCTCTGTGATGCAAAGGAATCAAAGGAATCAACGTTTCTTAAGCAATCACAGCTAGTGAGAATGGGTTGCAACTTCGGGTCGCAATTTGGGGTCTCACAAATTCCAGGCTAAATCATGCTAAATGGAATCCGTGAATAGTTTCGAGAATGGGTTGGCTAAGCTTGTGGTCTGTCCAATAACATCTTCCCTCGCGGCGCACAGCCTGCATCTTCAGAACTAGTCATTGGTTACCGGATCCAGAGTTGTTGACTTTACTGTTTGACTGACTGGCTGGCTGATTGAAAAGTTGACTAGGTGCAAAGGTGCATAGCTCATTGAATCTTGTTGAGCTCTTCTCCTCTATCCATTTCCTCAGTGACCCCTCTCTTCATTTCGTGGCCACTGCTTCTTCGTTCTTCACTCAGCTACTCTTTTCTCTCTGTGCTACCTGCCTTTTCTCTACCTCTTTGCGGAGCTTCTGATCTATCTCCTCAGCCATCCGCTTCTCAGCTCATATTCAGCCTATATTCAGCTACCTCATCTTTGAGTTTCAGCTCTTTTGGGCTACTTACAGTACCTGTTCTCCGCGTGCCTCCTCTTTGAGCTTTCTTGACTCTAAGCCACTTCCCCGAGCAGTAGAGCATGCTTTGCGCAGCTGGTCAATTGTGCTAAGCTGCCCTCTGTTGCATGTTACAATAGCAGCGCAGGCACCGGAGCAGGGCATGCTTCGTGCAGCCTCGAAATCCATTTGGCATCCCCCGGACTCAGTCGCATGCACCGACCTGCCCCTCACCCGACCACTGTGCCGGAGCATTGGGATTTACTTATCCAATATTATCCATAACTCGGAAGCTTCTCATCTACAATTCTCTGGGTAATCTACACAAACGGATTCTTTTGAATCTGCTACATCTGAAAGGAAATTGATTAAAATAAAACGGGACGGCAAAAATGTTCATGGGTAAGCGAATTGAAATGTCCAGAGGTCCCCGTTGTTCACAACCTCCAAATTGTGTGAAGCGGGGGGCCACCTCTGTCAAGATCCCACTGGAAAGGTGTGCCATCCCCCTTCCGGACTGTCAAGTAATTCCTGTGCTCGGACTTTGGCTACACAGTCATTACCCTCTGGTAACTTAACATAGCTATTGAAAATCACCATTTTTAATGGGAAAAATCCACTATAACTGGCCATTTTCAATAGCTATGTTAAATTACCAGAGAGTAAACTATTCAAAACTAAGCAAACAAGGAGCTCATCGGCAGCTTTAGAACTGGTGCATTTATGAAACAAATCTTTGGCTGAGTGCTTGTCGTGCACCTTTAGAAATTCCTTTTCCAAGTCGGGGACGACGCGCAAGCATCACGTCCAGACTTTGGCTGGGTTTTATTGTTCCCCTACGGATTGAGATAGATATAGACAAACGACCATTTTGTATAGTAGTTGATGATATCTTTAACCTCGGGTTTACCCATGGGTTTTCCACATCTGTGCTAGTTAAGTCCAAGGTAATATCCCAATTTTGAATAATTTTGAATGGACAATATCAATCTTTAATGTCTTCTACTTGACCAAAACATATGGGTATCCCGGTATCGTTTCTTTGTGTCTTTCGGAAACTTCTGGTTGAGACGATTTGAAAGGTGTCAGGTTCGTGAACTTCCAATTTATGAATCTATGGTCTGGGTGCATATTAGCTGGTTGGTGGTTTTAAGCATCTTGAAAAATATGAACGTCAATGGGAAGGATTATCCCATATATTATGGAAAATAAAAAATGTTCCAAACCACCAACCAGTTAGTCATTCTGAACTTCCTTACAAAATTGGCCGCCAACTTCCTCGGACCGTGGAAGCCGGTATGGTGCAAAAATGCTCTAGAAATATGTCTTTTCCTGGCCGATAAGGGCGAAATATCTGGCTCGCAAGTCTTCAGATGTGGCACTCAGAATGTAGTGTTTTTTGTGTTTTTAGTTCCTGAAAAAGCAAAAGGGTTCCCTCTTCAGGAGCTTTGCTTCAGAAGCAAATAGGCCATCCAGAAAACCTCAGCCTGGATTTCCTGCCCCATCAACTGGCTTTGCACCCACTTGGGCCCAGAACCTTCTCTTCTCCGTTGTCGCCGTTTTCCTTGGCAACACAATTTATAAGGCCCCGGAGGGTTGTGACATGTTGTGACCGGCTGCACCAGAAATCCCTCCGACAAAAATGGGAGTATCTGCCCCAAACCTCGATCCATGTCTACTCATCTACATGGACCCTCAAAGTACCCGAAAGAAAATCTGAAAGCGACAATTTTGGAGATGTGAAATAATAATAGCAATTCTTCCTATTTCTATGAGTAAATTGAGGGTCAAGGTATCCCAGCCCTCGGACCTCCTTTTCTTTCGAAGTTTTTTTCTCTTCCTGGTCACGGCGTCAGCCCAAGGGCCCTGCAAGTTTTCGTCGCACTCTTCCACCGCCGTTCGTTGTATCGTCACTTTTTGGAAATTGCCCATTGAGATGCCCATTTATGGGGGATTCCACCTTGACATCTTTGATTACTGGAGAGTATGGGTTGTGCAAATAGAATCCATGACATGTTGAAAACCAGGTTTTATCCTTTGGTCCGTCCGGGATGGGGGAGTGTCCACAGATTCTCGCCCCAAAAAACACATCAATTGGGAAAAGGATGCAAATCCTGGGGGTATATAACTGGGGGATCTGGGGGTTTGCATGTGTAATCCATGTCTTATCACCAAAACATATAAGTGCTGTACCTTCTGGTACAATAACATAGCTATGGGAAATAACCCATTTAAAATCATTTAAACAAGATTTAGCCCTTCAACATGGCAATGTCTGGTGGCTACGTGGAATTTTTCGAGGAATGCGAGAATCCATTGGCGCCGCCTCCTTTGCCTTGGCTTGTTTCGCCTTTTCCTCCTGCAGAAAGCACTCTCCGGGATTTTGTGCTTCATTCCATTTTACTGCTTGGTTCATAGGGATTTCCCTAATGGATGTTCATCCCACTAAAAATGTATCTATAGGTATTGACCCATACCCATATATTATAATCCCCAATATATGAAGGGTTGTATATTCCCCGAACTAATATGAACTAATCATCAACCAACCAGGGTTTTGAACACTGCTCTAAATTCTTGGTCATCCCAACTATTGAGTGAACTGGTCAGTTGTTCATATTCCCAGTTTTGGCTGTATATTTGATATGAATTGGTGAAGTAGTTGTAATTCCACACGACAGAAAAATGATGCAAAATCTAAGCACTTCTCAGTCTTGACAGTAAATCATGGGGTGAAAAACCGAGTGTTGTTTGTTAGTCGGTTGGTGGGGGATTACCACGGATTTCCCAGCTAGCCATCTTTGAAAAACCGAAGGAAAGCGCTGCAAGGATCGACTGCTGGAAAAAGCGCTGCGAAATCCCGCACCAGTTGGTACCCTCTGGTAATTTGTTACGGTTTGCTATTGAAAACAATACCCAGTCGAAATAGTTGGTTATAGTTGGTTTACCCAGCTATAACATGGTGGATCCAGTCCGGTATGTAAACGTTTACCAGGCCGGGTAGATTTTGCAATCATCCCATGATTTATCCTGGCGAAATCGCCTGGAAAACTCCACCCTGGTGAGGTCTACAGCAAGGTCTTCTTGCCCAGTTGTGTGCCGTGGTGAAAATAAACCCACTTGACTAGGTTGACGAACAAAAACATATCAACATATATCAACATATATCAACATATATCAACATATATCAACATATATCATATATCAACATATATCAACATATATCAACATATATCAACATATATCAACATATATCAACATATATCAACATATATCAACTAGAAAGCCAACAGCTAACATCGGATATCATATCCAGGGCACCAGCATGGCACCAGTTCACCCAAGTTTCTCCGCCTTGGCCGCATCCGGGTATCCACCGCTGGTGGGCTCTCCCGTTTCGGCCTGCGACATGTAGAGAACCCACAATTTGTGGATCATTTTCGGAATATCAACCCAGTGGTTTTCCACATCTATCTATGTTAGTTTACCCCAGGCTACTGTGAGGTTTCTTGGCGTCTTTTGTTCAGTGTGGTGTGTGTGTGTGTGTTGATGTTGTTTTTGGAGCGAAGTGCTGCTGCCTCTTTTTGGGATCTTTAATCGCGTTCGAGGTTTTGTAGTAATATGATGGAGTAGTCAAAGCGATATGGTGGTTCGACCTTTTGGGCTGGCGAGTTCTGCCCCGAAATAAGCATCTCAGTTTGACATATTTGGGTGTGTCTGAAAATGTGGTCTAGCCCGAAATATATAGCCATTTGAAAGGAACAAGATGAAGCACTGCATTTTGGTGTATCCTATTTCCAGACAAAGCCCATCTACTGAAAGTTACAAGCCTCAAAAAAGACTTTCTGCGACACGAATGGTGTCAAGTCTAGTCTCACAGCAGTGTAAACCTTGCCCGATCATATCTGCATCTGTACTACCCAAATATTGCTTGTTTAGCTCAAGTCACACTCAGGACTCAGGAAGCAACAAATCCAACCCATCAAAACAATTTCTGATACATTATATAGATCGGGTCGTTTGTTCATGTTGCTTGGACGGCCTGCAAAGGATTCACCAAACCATCGTAACTATTTATGTTCTATCTCATTATTCCCTGGCAAAAGCTATATATGGACAGATACATATATATACATATATATACATATATATATATATATATATCCATGCATGTATAATATATATATATATCCATGCATGTATAATATATATATATATGTGTATACATATATATATATATATATACATATTATGCAAAGAGAACTGGATAACTAGAATAGTAAATCAACCTAGGCAAATAGTGACACACCACACGGCACACAAAAGTCATGGGATCACCCCACCGCCTCTTTGTCCTTTTTCTTTCCTCAGGAGCACATCCCCAAGAAGATCTGGTCCAAGATACAGGAAAGGGCCCCCAAGCAATAGTGAAAGTGAGTTTATACCTAGGCTAGGTATGGCTAGGTAGGATTTGTGGTGGATGGATACATCATGATACATCTCAACTTGGATGGGGTTATAAATTGTTATATAAGGCAACTTAGCAACCCAACAATCACCCACTTACTAACTGGAATCCACCCCCAAGTACAAGACACACCCGACCCGTGTCTTTGTTCCGACTTTTCATTCTCTCAGCTGCTTCTTGTGCCCTTGTTTGCTAGACTTGGAGACTGTTCGGGCCTGCTCCGTTGCTTCGAACTGCCAGCAAATACAGTCGTGCTTGCAAGGATTCCTGCTGCAAATTCAATCTTCTGGGTAAGTCAACTCATCTCTGCACATCAATGGCTCTTTCCAAATATTTTTCTCTGGGTGTTTTGCTAGCACTTGGCCGACTTGGCCAATGCCTTTTTAAGATGCCGCTCTGCCACATTTCTCGTCCATATTTCCTGTCCGCATTTCTTGCACCATCACACGCAAAACACTCGCAACAGGCGGCCTCTTCTGCATCACCGCATCTCACCACATCACCATGGACACCGGACTGAAGCAAACGCCCAGGGTTTTTCGATGGTGATAAACAAACTGCTGCAAAATAAGGGCTGCGCGCGGCGCGCAAACAGCTAAACTTGCCTTGTCCAAAGACTTCTTTGGTCACAGGAGGTCCAAAGGCCAATGCTTGGTGGCCTTTGGACTTCCCGAGGATGTTCAAGGCAGGGTGGCTGGCAGGAACAAACCAACGACAACGACATGCTGAATGAGAACTGAGTGCAACATGAAAACCTCAACAGCTTTCTGTACACGATCCAGTTTGGGTTTAGGAACATCACTGCTCCAAGCCGTAACGTTCCGAAACCCTAACTGGGTCGTGTAAGAGGCAAACGACTTCGCCACTTCCATGGGACAGGGGTCCAGGGCTCCCACAAGGCCATGGCCCGGAAATTCCGCTTGTGCCAGCAGCTTTCGGACAGAGATCAAACAATTCCAACTCAGACTGTCTCAAAATGGGATACCCCAGAACCATCCCAGAACCCAAAGATGTTTTATCATTCCTATCATCAGTTCCCCCTTCAACTTGTAATTTCGTGCCCGCCAAGTAGCTGTTCTTCTTGGAGGATGATGCACCACCTTGCCTGAGCGCCCACAGATTCCCATAGTCGCCATGGGTCAGTGGGAGCTTACAAAAACATCTATATCTCCACATGGGTTTCGATACGATTTATAGATTGTCATGGCCCAAATTTTAGATGAGATTTCGATTTTCCATGGATTGAGTATACTCAGATGAGATGCAACTTCATGCTGTCCATCTTTCATGTGCCTGGTCCAGTACGTAACTTCACGGAAACTCGCGACTCTGCTTCGCGAGTCAGGACCAAGGTCATTCAGGTCACTGCTTTGCCAATCTGAAATTGAGGGTAAAAGCTGATCCTGTAAAGATAAAAGTCTTAGTGGGCTATCAGCTACTAAACTTACTAAACCCATTGAAGCCTCTGTGACTAGCCATCTTTAAAAATGTTCAGGCCAGTGGCAGTGGAGTCGATGTAAGATTCGTCCAGCTTCATGATGAACGTAACTAGAATGAGTGGAACGCTTCAGAAGACGTGATCATGCTTCCGATCTTGACATCCTTCCTGGTAAACCGTATCAAAAATAGGACAGAAGCATTTGTCACTCGGTTTCATCGTCACCTTTACAGGTGATGATGCTCTTCGGACCAAGAAAAACATTCTTGATAGGCACAACAAACACAATAAACCTGGGATGGTCGGGACCCAAGAAGATATTGGGACAATGTTTTATTCTTAGTGGACTTGTTGGGACCAAAACATGAAAAAAAGTACAGTACCCTCCGGTAATTCAACATAACTATTGAAAATTGCCATTTATAGTTGATTTACCCATTAATAATGGTGATCTTCTCTAGCTACATTAGTCTACCAGAGGGTACCTAAGAAGATATCGAATCAATCTACAACAAATATCCAAAAAGATCGCCACATCAATTTAGAAACGAAAGATATGTCAACAGACATACCCAAATCAAAATATCTTCCCTCCCAAAAAAAAAACATGATTTTCAAAGATCTCTAAATATATATATATATGTATACATAAATATGTATATATATATATACATATGTATATATATATACCCAAATCACCATCAACAAAAATGTCCCCATGCCGCGCAAGGAACGACTCCTGGGGTAGGTCAATTCCCAACTCTCCCAGGATGGCGTCCAAGTCCTGGGGCAGGTCGAATCATCTTCGAGTTCAATTGGAAAAGAACTGTTGAAAATGGCCATAGAAATTGAAGTTATGGCATAACTATCAGTTTAGATCAACAATAGTTAATCAACTTTGAAGATGGCCATTGATAGTTGATTTGAAAATGTTTTTTTTAGAATTACCCTCTGGTAATTTGTGAAAATAACGAAAATGAAAATGATCATTTATAGTTGATTTTCCCATTGAAAATGGTGGATCTTTTCAGTTCGTTATGTAATAGTTTACCAGAGGGTACAGTTTAGACGACATCTTTCTGTTGAAATTGAAATCTTCACTTGCTCCCGAAAGGCGGGAAATTGCTCTCACCTGCTGACTGTTCATTTTCCGGGGATTAACATAGTATATATATATAGTATATATATATAGTATATATATATAGTATATATATAGTATATATATATATAGTGTATATATATATAGTATATATATATATAGTATATATATAGTATATATATATAGTATACATACAGTATATATAGTATATATATAGAGTGTGTATATATATAGTATATATACTATATATATATATACACTCTATATATATAGTATATATATAGTATATATATAGTATATATATAGTATATATATAGTATATATAGTATATATATATAGTGTATATATATAGTATATATATAGTATATATATAGTATATATATAGTATATAAGTAGTATATATATAGTATATATATATATAGTATATATACTTGGTATATATATAGAGTATATATAGTATATATATAGTATAGTATAGTAGTAAGTAGTATATAGAAATATAAGTATATATAGTAAGATAGTATAGTAATAGTATACTATATAGTAGATATATATATAGGTATATATAATATATTATATATATACTATATTATATTTATACTATATTATATATATACTATATTATATATATACTATATTATATATATATATATATACTATATTATATATATACTATATTATATATATACTATATTATATATATATACTATATATATATAGCTTCTGTTTCCATGCAACTATCATGGAAGGGAACATCATGCCATTGGATTTTAATGGATTTTACCCAATGCTGGATGCCAATTGGCAATGACATGGGGGTTGCTGCTAGCAGCTTCGCGTTGGAGATCTTCGGATCAAAACCTGAGAGATTACTCAACGTCTTAATGGATCTGGCAGCAATCCTGGGAAGTAGTCCAAGCGTTGCCTTGATTTCAAAGGGATTTGAAGGTTTCCAAAAAATAGGGCTTTCCCCAAATCATCCAAAACTCCAAAACTGGACCATTTTAAGTTTTGAAACTCACGGTTTGGGGATCCTCCACTGTAAAGAAACCGAGTTTGTTTGGCTGGTTGACTGTATCCTACTAGTGGCCTGTTTTATTCATCCTCGGGAACAGGAGACCTCCACATGACTCCACCATTGGACCATGATCACTCTGGTTGGCTCCACATTCATGTCATGTATTATCCAGTGCCGTAAACAATCCGCAACTCAAAAGTGGTGAAGAGGTCATTGGGTACACCCCTACAATATGGATCGCTTATTTCACCCTCTGGTAATCAAACATGGCAATGGAAAATCCTGATATAATACAATATTGTATATATATATATATTATGTTCCGCCATTAACACCATTTGTAGCGGACTTTCAATTGCCCATTTTTTTAATTGCCAGGATGGAACCATCCTGTTCCAGAACTCACTCCCAATGATATCCCGCAGCCATGTCCTCGTCATCAGGTTTCACCGGTTTTTTCGCTTCCTGCTTTCGAGCTGGCCGTCCGAACATGGGGCTGTTCGTCGCCCGCAAAAAGATAAGCATTGGTGAATTTTACCACTACCCTCGGGTAATTTAGCGAAACCGTCGAAGATTACCCATCTATGGATGATTTAACTAGTCAATAAACTATTCAATATAGCCTTAGCCATCTTCCATGGCTGCGTTCGATTACCCGAGGGCTATTGTTGGTTGGATTGTGCGTTTCCTCTCTGGGGGATGCGAATCCAGGAATACCTCCATGGTTCAGGTTCATCATTGGTTTCCCTGACTGATTCAAAAGAATTTTGGGGGAAGTTGTGATTTTGGTATCACCCCATTGGTTTTAAATGAGTAAACCTGTCTGGGTCATAGACCCTTGCAGCTGGAAAATATACATACATATATTCTGTATGTAAATGTTATATGTAATATGTGTATATATATATATTTCTTTCTTATGAAATATATGTATATATATATATGTATATCAGTTATATCATATAGCAATTAATAGAAAGATACTCCAGTTGCCAACCTTTTACTAATTTCAGGGATCATCCCAGTCTTCCACAAGAGTGTCCCATCACCGCTCAATAGTCAAGTGACAACTTCACCCCAAACAGCTCCACGGCTTGAAGATTAGGACCCCCATTTGTAAGGAACCGGAACAGATCGTACAGATCTGGGGGCCATATTTGACCAGAGTGTGCCAAGGCAATCGGCAGGGACAACCAGTTTTCTTTAGCCTTGAAGCCACAGCATTTCATTCATGAAGGATTCAGGGAATCTCCAATTTGCGCCCAACAACCACTGTTCGCCCCTAGGCCCAAAATTCTGACTCCACTCTGCTCCTTCTTGTTCTTTCCACCAGAAGGTGCGGCCTGTTGCATGCAGCTGTTGCGCAGCGTTGGCCCGATCTTGCAATAAAACTTGCGCCAACCTAAACTGTGGTGAATTTGGTGGTCCCCAAAAGAAAAGATTCAGGACTGCCAAAATCTGCCAACATACTGCAGCTACTTTGGGATTTCCATGGGTTGGTGTTGTCGGTCTCCATCTGGGGTAGGGATGCACAATGTGAGAGTGCCCAAACCATCCCAAACCCTTTCTCAACCCAATCTACTAGTTGTCTGATAAGGATTTCCATATTGGATTAGAATGATCGCCATTAGACTCGCTCCAACAAATCAGATACTGTGCTGTAATTACATAGTATATACGTATCTGAGTTGAGCAATATTTAACCCCATATCAATTGATACGTCGGATGATGATGATCTCCATTGAATCAGCCAGCCAGTATACCCCCATAAAACATCATAAAACCAACAACCATAAGGGACTTCAGGCCTGGCAAAACAATCATTGGTGCCCGCGCCTGCTCCTTTGTGTCGGCCTTTGTTCCGTTGGTCTCTCGCTGTTCCCAATCCTGCAAGCCGCTAATTGCACGTAGCTTGGCGGTTGGCCAAGGACTATGAAGCTGCGAGCCTTGAAAATATACCCTCTGAGCCATGGAAAATGGTCCATTTATAGATGGTTTACTTATTAAAAATGGTGATTTTCCATGGCTATGTTAAATAACCAGATGGTAGGCCAATCCTCCATCCTCATCATTTTGGGTTACCGAAATGCCATATTGGGTTTAAAAATGTGTACCAAACGGCACAAACAAGGGATGGTGTATCGAAGACTTTTGGGGTCGAAAAAATCTGGCTGCACATCCCAGAGGGTTCAGGTTTTCACATCTCCCCGCATCTGCTGTACATCCATATCTACGGCCAAACTTAGATACCTGGCATTTGCTTAAGTTGCTGACTCTATACCCCCATTTACAACAGAAGATTGGTCAACTATAGTACTAACAATACTGAACTATCCATCCATCTGGTTCCACCAGTTACATCCAACGACACCACCTCTCCCAAGTTCTCACAGCCTGCACGGGGGCTGCCTTGCACACAAGGGAAGTCCCCAGCTATGAAACCACGTCTGTGTGGCTGGCGTGTGTCAACATTTGCGGACCAAAAACTACAATATCAATCAATAAATAATATATGACATAAAATTCTCAGATTGGTCAGTTGATTAAGCAAGGTGATAAATAGCCAATTAAGAACAACAGAGCAGCAGCCATTTGGGCATCAAAATGACAATCATTGGCGCAGAGAGACCCCGCACTGGACTGACCTAGATACTGATATATGACTGATGTGTATATAATATATATATATAAATATATAATTATTATATCTACATATATATATAATATTATTATATCTATATATATAATTTCATTATATCTATATATAATATTTTTTTCTATATCTACAATATCATGTTATCTATATGTAATATCATTATATATATAATATTATCATATATACAATTTTAAATATATATATAATATTAGTATATGTATGTATATATTAGAAGTTTGAAATTCACAGTTGAAAGCAGTGGTGACTTGGGAGTTCCTTTTTGTTGGAGCTCGGGCCTCAGGAGCATCAGCAGGCTCACTCTCGGTCTCAGAGTCCGAAATGGGCGCCCTGACGTTGAGATCCTGGTTTTTCGCTGCAGGGGTTCACCCACAGTGTTCTGGAGGCAACTTGGATTCATAGCAAAATACCTACAATGTGGGGCCCCCCAGTTATAAATTGGTTTAGAAACCCCAGTAACTATAGTTATAAGTACCATAAACCATAGTTATTGGAGTTATAAACCAACTTAGCTATCTAGGGGGCCCCACTTTGTAGCTGGTTGGTGGTTGACCTACCCCTCTGAAAAATATGAGTTCGTCAGTTGGGATGATGACATTCCCAACTGAATGGAAAAATAAAAAATGATCCAAACCACCAACCAGCTAGAGGATCCTATAGGTATGGAGATAAGTGCCAAATAAGGAGTAAATCTGTGGGAAAAAAATATGCTATGAATAGACTGTCAGACACGCTGTCTTGAGTAGGCCTATTTCGCCTGATGTCCATGATAATTATACTACTTGTTTATTTTCCAACAATCAATAGGAAACCAAGGGGTGACCCCCAACCTGCAGCCTACCTTGAAAACATCACGAAAACATGTCTAATCCAAGGCGAATCCTGCCAGCTATTCCATATATTCCCCAGCAAAAAGAAGCACCTTATCCTACCGAAGCCAGGTTCGGCCATCAGCTCCTCATCATCCGAGGCATCGGCCCATTTGCCCATGTGAACAGGGACCTCGCGTGGCTTGCGACTGGCGTGCAGCTCAAAAATGACTATGTTTACTGGTTTTGACTTTTTGCAGGAGTTGTCATTTCAAGAAAATGGTTCGAAAACCCCACAGTTCAACCTTCAACAGAAAAATTGTCAGGGGCTCTCTGCATTTTGTTGCAGAACTGTCTCTGGGCTGAGACCAACCCAATTATACGTAGTGCGCTGACCCCGCATCTAAATTTCATTTGCAGAAACCGCCACTAAGAATCATAAGGATAGAAGTGTAAATCATTACCATTTGGACATTTGATACGGTTTTTTCACACTTTTTGGGGGTGGTTACTACCAAATCCTGGGCCAAAACACACCACGACCGCCTTCAACACTTGCAGCCGAAGTGCGGGAGCAGCTTTGATCTCATTGATCTTCTGCTGACGTTCCAACTCTTTTTCCTTTCGCCTGATGCGGAAGATGATGATAGCCATCCCCCAAAGATCCCAAAGTAACAACGTGACCCCTGAGAATCACTATATAGAGTTTTTTAGAGGAATCTTCCAAACCTCGTGGCAAGGTCTATGTAAATGTCACAAATCACATCTTTCCTGAGAGAATTCTTCAGCCGAATGTTGGATCAGGCTGGACTCTGGACGGTTCAGTTCCCCAGTACTGACAGCATTGCGGGAGCTACAGACCTTCCATCATGGGATCGACATCTGGGACTTTGAACAGAATCCACCAAGACTAAGTTCCGTTCGGGTTTTTGGGCTGGGCAAAAAACCAACCAAAACCACTGACCCAGAGATGGTTGCCGGCAACCCAACAGTCACGGCTTTTGGGAACTCGTGATTGATTCCAAAACCCATATTTCCCATGCAAACATGCACCAAGTTCGGCTGGTCGGGATCGGATTGTTTCTAAGCACAGCAGCAAAAGTTTGATGCTCTCCGGCCTTAGGATCTTCTTCTCCTGCAGAGATTTGTCGTTTGATACCAGGACAATTTGCTCGGAGACAGGAGAAATTGGTCAAACCAGGGGGTTGAAATCTGATATCTGGAACTATATCTTTAGGTGCGTTCTCCGTGTTTCTGGAAATTGTGACACCCGCAAAAAATATTCTGACACCCTCAAAAAATATCTCTAAAGACATGAGTTCCCATAGATCTAGGTCTCTTAACCTTGAAGAAACTCATAGCTGGATATGTGTACCACATTCAGCAGCGAACCATTGATGGTGGTCAACCCCCAAAGTCACTGGAAATACTCAGGAGGGTTCCATCCTTTTAACTTGGAACTGGTAGTACACTGAACCTATCCCCCACATCCCTTGAATTCAGCTCTGGCTACACGTACAAAAACATGGGGATTTCTTGGAACCCCCCCCCGCGGCGACCTCGTTCAACAAAGCAAAGCTCGCCATGGTGAACCCGGCTCGCTGATCCGGACAGGTTTCGTCTGATGGGCGGTCCTTGGAACCCGCGGCTGAATGGGATGACTGGAGTTGACCAATGGGGGCTGATTTATAGAGGTAAATCTCAGGGGACTAGTAGATTTGGTTGTACATCATATGCTTTTTATGGACCTGTTACATGTTTCATGACGTTATGCACCTTGTACTGACTACGCAGCATAATATATTCAGGTCTACAAGTCCCTGAGTATTATCTGCTTAACAAATCGAGATATGGTGGGTCAAGACCTCTCATACATTCTCATCGCATATTTTGTGAAGACAATGTGATTCACCTAATAATAGACCATTAGACCATCCCTGTAAACAACCATGTGGGGATCATTTACATCCATAGAGGTATACTAGTATACCCAATAATGAACCTCTATCGGGCATACTACATCAATACGGGATTCAACCAACAACTTGATGATAATATCATGGGAATACATATATAATATTATATAATATTATATAACCCAGCTATGGGGTACACATAAATATCATAAATCCCAAGCATTTTCGAAGCTCTGCTGAGTCACTTCGGCAACTGCAGGCTTAGACCCGTGGACGCGGCAGATGCCAAGGCCTGGTAGAAAAATCAGCTGCGGAGCCACCCGGGTTTTGGTTGGAATCCTAGGCATCGATGTGTGAAGAAAATGGTAGTTTACCAGAGGGCATATTCCATTGTGTGTGGATTATAATCCCATTAAACCCCATGAAATCCCAATTAAACCTCATTAAATCCCTATCATTGAACTCAGAAAATTCTAGAAATTGGTCAAGAAATGGAACATGGAACATGGAACATGGAACAATATCTGGAAAGTACTGGAACTATTGTTGTCTTTCCAGGGATATTCACAAAAACCCCACAGTATCAATCCGCCCATTTCAAACTTTAAGACATTTCTCGATCCGGGCCGGACCTTAATCGAATGCGCAGATCGGACACGCTGACGCTGCGGCTGAAAAAATGCGGAGCTCGAGGCTGAACGCTGCAGTGTTAGTGTTAGGAAGACATCAAGTGACACTCTCTGCTGGGATATATGTTTTGCCATTTGGATCCATTTGGGGCTACAAAATAAATCAAATAAACATAGGGTTTCATGCATTACCCAAACAGCTCTGTTTTCATGTTTTTCCACTTTTTGATCCATGCTGACACAGGTTCTTCAGCTACATCGCAGGAACCTGGATGAAACCCTGTGTTTCCGCCCAATGATTTTGATAGCCCTGCCAATCTCAGAGCAATCCCGAAAAGAATAGACCAGTCCAATCTTACATACTGTGGATGGAAGAAATCCTGCACCAGTTGATAGATGTTTTATCCCATTATTTATAGGGTTTCAACTCAACCATCCGTTTGGTGGTATGATGCCCAGAAACCACCCATCAGGGGTTCTGCTACCCCTCCAGGCCGCTGTTTTCACCATCAAACGAAGCCACTCCGAAGCCAGTCCGGGAGCGCTGCGCCCTTTCTGAAGTCTTCAGCACCTCAATGGATGCAGCAAATCCATTCGTTTCCAGAACTCAAAGGAAACGTTGCTCCGTACCCAAGAAAATTCACTATCAGAATCAGCACTATACATCACAGAATATATATATATATTCTATGTGTATAATATATATATATATTCTGTGATGTGTATATATAGGCTTGTCCAGGCTTCTGGAACTGCGTAAACCTGAATACGATTGGGGGGTGGGGTGGGGTGGGATGTTAACGTTCATGTGAACTTGCGGCAGCAGTTGATGCTACGCACACGCGGGGTGGGGGGGGGGTGGGGGGGGGTGGGGTGGGGTGGGATGTTAACGTTCATGTGAACTTGCGGCAGCAGTTGATGCTACGCACACGCGGGGTGGGAAAAACTGGTCTCACATGTTTCTGGTGATGATGATACTGATGATGATGATGATGATGATGATGATGCTGATGATGATGATGATGATGATGATGCTGATGATGAGGATGATGAGGATGATGATGATGAACATGACCCAAATGAAACTTGTTAATTCCGCGACGAAATTTCGTCACGGAATGGACAAGTTTTACCAACCTAATTCAGGTTTACGCAGTTCCAGAAGCCTGGACGAGGCTATATATACATATGTATACCTGTAACAGGAATATTTTTATGAGTCTTAATGAAGTATATGTACATATATAATCATAACATAATGTATGTATATATATATATATGCATACAGATTGACATACAATTCATAAAGACTCATCAAAATGTCTGTTTTTATGTAACGCATTTCCATTCATATATTAAAATTGATATAATACCGGGTTCTTCCACAAAAAAAAGACCAAACAGTTCCAACATGCACCGGAAGCCCCCGGACCCCCTGTATCAATGTTGCTACGTATCACTTCTCAATGGCCGGAGCAAGAATGGCTGTTATTTTTGAAGGCTCCGCCATGCTTTCACACAACATTGAGATTGGGGAACCAGGGGTGTCTAACTGTCATCGCTAGAATTCAAGTTGGTTGGCTGTTTTTTCAGCAATTCGACCCGGTATGGGTGTGTCTGAACATGTGGTATACCCAATTAAATAGCAGTTTCAATGGGAATCACTTGAACAGCCATTGAATTTGAAAATGGAATAATAGTAATAATAATAATACGTCAAAATTACTTTTCCAAGTCCAATGGGTATACACGTCGAATATATGGGGGGTTCCTAAAATAGGCATACCCCAAATCATCCAGTCGTCATGGATGACCATGACTTTGTATCGAAAGCCAGACCTGGGGATCCTTTTGAAGAACCCCCGAACCCCCTGCGTTCATTCCAAGCCGCTGTAGTCCGGAACACCTTCCAGGGATCCATAGATGGCACCCCCGGTCCAGGCTGCGCAGATGGGCGCAAAGTCCACAGGTGTTAGCCGCAGCTTGGGTGCCAGGGCGGAAAGCACCTGCTGGGACCGTCTGGGACCATGGCCCTGGGCATGGCCCTGGGCATTCCCCCCTTCCCATTATCTACATAATATATGGATAAAGCTGGTTCATAAATAGCTCATAAATATGCTTGACTCATTGTTGAATAATCTGGTGAACTCACATAGCTATGGAAAATGGCCCAGTTATCGTGATTTACCTATGAAAATTGTGATTTTACATAGCAAACTGTTAGTTGACCAGAGGTTTCTTAGTTAAATATGATATAATATGATTAAATAGTCATAGCTCATGAATTGTTGTTGAATCCCCATTTTTTTATTAACCAAATAATAGTTACCGACCCAACAGCCATCACCAGGACCTCCGAGCTCGGGGCCTTGTGCTGTTGCAGGGCCTTCTGCACTTCAAGCGCCAGGCGCGGCAGCAAGCCGCGCAGCGTGGCGCCACCTGTTTCTTGGGTTACGACTTGGAGGATCCCACAGTGGGGTAACTGGTCAATAGCCACATGATGCCACATGTTTTTGAGCCAGTTATATCATGTTATATCCTGTTATATCATGTTATATCATGTTATATCCCAGTTATACATGGAGAAGCCCACGACTTGCGTATTTTTGGATAGGTTTTTTTAAGTCACTAAGTGGGATGATCCTCCAAGCATGCTTTAAGCACCGGAAATGGCGAAACATGTTGACTTTAAGCAACGGAAGAATGGTTGCATCAGGGTCCTGAGAATCAAGCGGTTTTTGCAATGAAAATGGGGATGTAACATGATTTACAGTAAGTGGATGTAAGTGGCAATAAATTTAGAATGATCTTCTGAAATGATCGGCCTTTCGCCATGGGCACCCTCAAAATCATCCAATGTCCAAACTCGGTGATTTTTGATACGGAAACCAATGATTTTGGGGCATCCTAATTTTCAGAAATACCCATGTGGGTATTGGTCAAAATTGGGTACCTACCGACAGGATCGCTTCAGTCAAACCTCCGCAAATCACCACGTTCTGCACCAGTTGGGCACGGATGTCCATGGGGCACAGCTCCAAAGTGCGTACGAAAGCCTGGCCGCTTTCCATAGCACCGGAATTCCCTTCATAGCAACGGATACCCTAGGGAAACACCATGATGGCATGCAAAATGCCTTGTTTGGGAACCAACGAATGCCTTCTCACAGTTCATGACCACCATCGTTGTTGCACATTTTGTGTGACAAGTCCAGATGTTCAGCATTTTGCCAAAATGAAACCTGAGTTAGCCAACAGTTTACTAATATTCCCCTCAAAGTGGGCATATCATGGCTTATAAGCCACTTTAAAACAAACCCTTGGGACTACCGCCCCGGTTCGCCTCGGGGAGCGTATCACAGGCGCAGCTGTGGTTCTCTGCACTCTGCGGATGGAAGAAACATTCCTGGAATTTTCAGGCCGCAACTTGCGGAAAAACCCCCACTTAAAACACAAAGTGGGCTTCGTCACTTAAAAATCTTAAAACTGTTTGTGTACATGATTCAAACCATAATCTACAACATGGTGATGTACAAAGGAGAATGGGATGTCTAGGTTTGGAGGCGTGTTGAGGTTGTTGGACTTAGAATGGTCGACTTGCCGAAAAGGGATTTTGGTACCTCACGTGGCTGGTTGAGGGGTGGACACGTGGGACGCCTGGCTCAAGTCCTCAAGTACCCATGGGTTTGATCTGGCCAAGGGATAATTTTTACACATTCTGTAATATCTATTAAACTATTATCTCATATCATGACTCATATATTGTCTCTAGTATATATATATAGTCTATTCCAATATATTCCAATCATTTCAAGATTTCTGGGTCTTCACTGTGTTCCCCATGTACCGTGCGGTGGTTCGCCAACCCCCGCCATCCCGGTGCTCAAGTCTCTGTCACGCCGTGCCGGCACGCAGCGGGCACTTTCAAAGCTCGGTCCCGACCTAGGAGCCGCACCTGAGAGGAGGGTTCCGGTGGATTTTCAAACATAGCATGACGAAAATACCATAAAAATACCAGGCAGTTCTTAATCGGAAAATCATCTGTCAAGGAGGAATTGTCAGTTGACATGTTTGATTGCCAGAGAATACATAGAACGTATGATGGTTTCCTTGCTAATTTGACAGAATCTGATGGAATATATAAAGTACTAGTTGTCGAACACTTTCTGCAGACGTGACATATCAAAATGATGCTCATCAAAGCCATTGCAGTATTTTTTTTGCTGGTCAGTTGCTTAAAATTGGCCCATCCTGGCAAACAAACTTACAAAGTGGGGCCCCCTAGATAGCTAAGTTGGTTTATAACTCCAATAACTATGGTTTATGGTACTTATAACTATAGTTACTGGGGTTTATAAACCAATTTATAACTGGGGGTAGTACTGATACTGATTCCCTGCTCCTAATTCTAGATGGTTTTCCCCTGTGAGAATCATGTCAGCTTACCAGGGAGTTTTTCGGCCCAGGAACAAGGTTTGATCCCCAGTTTGAAATTGCAAAGCAAACCCGTTAAAATACTTCCACACTTTTCTATCCTTAGAACATCATTTAATTGAATCTACGAAATCCATGGAAATCCCTCCCTCACATCACCTCTTGTTTTCTCTCCCCTCTGGTAAACATACGAAAAAACCATGGGAAACATCACCAAATTTCATAGCTGGGTAAATCAACGATTTCTATGGCCATGTTCAATAGCAAACGTCACCGGATCCGTCGCCGCCTCCGCGTCCTTGTCGCTCTTCAATGACCTCGCTGGCTGTTCTCTGTCCTGAGATCCAAGGCGTTGAACCAGGAAGCTACAAGGTGGGAAACCAACGATAGACTCACGGTGGTTTACCTATGAAACATGGTGGTTTAACTGTTTAACCAGCAAAAATGATGATTTAATTAAGTTTAATGGAATTGAATGGGATAGAACGGGGATACCCTCTGGTAAACTAATAGCTTGTTATGTAAAATCGCCGTGTTTAATAGGTAAATCAACAAACTAAATAATTACATAGCTATGAAACAAATCACCATGTTTAATGGGTAGATAATGATAAATCATCGAACTAAATGGTCCATGGCTTCCATAGCTATGTTAGTGTACTGGAGGGTACTGTCAATATACAGTTGAATGTGTCTGAACATGGCGTATCCCCAAATGATGGTAGAAATCGTGGTTTATCAGGGTTTTCACCAGTAAAACGGTTATTTTGAGGTATCCCCCATGTTCAGACAGATCCAGATGTTTTGAAAGTTGCTATCATTTTAAGGTTCAGCTTTGGAAAACCAAACAGAATCCAACATGACCCATTGATACCCATTGCTTATTAGTGGGTTTGCCTTGTTGTACCACATCAACGGACGACTCGGAGAATCACACTAACTTTACAATGAAGACCTATCTGTATGATTGATTCCTGGTGCAATCATCTTTAATACAAATATACGGAACTCCCAACTTGCCCCTGCATCCCTCACAAAGCCACTCCCTCCATGCAGAACCAAGCCTTAGGGAAGTCGCAAGTCACATAGCATGCACAGACCAAGACATCCTCCTAGGTTTAGCCGCGGTGTGCCATCAGTCTGGCCTTGTCCAATGTTGTCCATACACCATGCACACCGGAAAGAAGCTGGTCGAGTCCAGGGTGGAGGGGACACCCAGTTTTTCTAATGTTTTTTTTGGATTTTTTTGGGACTTCTCGGACATACCCAAGTGGACCATGACTTGTTTCATCGTCATTTTCTCCACTTCGTGAATGCCAGCCTGGTGCCCAGGGTCCAAAAAACACAGCTCAGCTGAGACGCCAAAACCGTCTCATCCTCCACAATATCCAGGATTCCGTCATTTCCGGCTGCGGGATCCATGAGCGCCTTCTTGATCGCCTGGTATGGCTCATCTCGGGCTGGGAGTTGAGCGTCAAGATTGGGCTGGAAATCACCATGCATCCAACCACAAAAAATGGGATTTTTTGATGGGGCTACAATGGGATGGAACAAAAACCATGTGATATTTGGGGTTTCTCTGAACGGGATTTACCCTATAAATTTACCATCAAATAAATAAGGAAAATGAGGTGTCAAAATTCACATCGGGGGGTACCCTATTCACAGACAAACCATATTGCAGCATCTTGGCGAATAATTTTGATGCATTCTGAAAGACCGGGATTCAAATGGATGGCAAGACGGTCAAGAGACATCAGCACAAATTGGTTCGTCTTCACAAGAAAACTCCGAAGGTCGTTAAACTTGAAAAGAATGACTGTGGGTCAAGACCTATCATCACAGAAGGTTGCTAGATCTAAAAATTGGATTCAAAATCATTTTCAAAAATCGCGGAAGGTCGTGAAGTCTCAAAATGCTAAATTCCTCTAAAATACAATTAAGCCTTTGCATTTCTTCTTCCTAGTGTCCGAAAACAGCATTGAATTGAATTGTTAATGTTTACGTATACTTAGAGATATCTACATGTCATAAACAGTTCCAGAATATTCCACATATTTTCGAAGGCTTAATCCCCAAAAACTATTTTCATACCATCAACCAATAATGTTTCTCCATCATTTATCCATGTGATTTTCGTATAAATCTTTGGTCATCCAACCCCTCTAAAGGGCCACCGCCTGCAGGACAGCTTTGGTCCCACAGTTGGCATCGCTGAAGGCCGACAGCAGCGGCACCCCAGCGGAGCTGGGGAGCACTTTGGCCGAGCCGAAACCCAGATCCACCTGGGAGCTGGGACGATGGTGATGATGGGATATCATAGTACATATATTTTCTGTATATATATAGTTTAATATACATATATATGTATATATGTATATATGTATATATGTATATATGTATATATGTATATATATGTATATATGTATATATGTATATATGTATATATGTATATATGTATATATGTATATATGTATATATGTATATATGTATATTAAACTATATATGTATATTAAACTATATATGGGTGAATTAGAATATTTCACTAACCTGAATAGTTCGGCCATTTGGGGATGATTCCCCTTTCTAACCATGATTAAATATATATATATATCACAAAGGAAATGGATATGATTCTGATGTATATAAATTTAATGGGATATTGTATGATATTTCATGATATTCTATGATATTTGATACTAATGTGATTATATATTGTGAGTTCTTCAGGTGGCTTAGCAATATCTATTGGTGGTTCATCACAGTGGACATTCAAATCCTTTTGGTTGTAGATCCCTACCAGTGTTGGACACCAATCCACAATACATATATATATATATGTATTAGTTTATTTAAGTTAAATTGGACATTTGTGGGATATGATGTGATATATGCTTGGGTGTTAAGATGGATGATGATATTCATAGGGATGATATGGCATGATATGGGATGATGATGTTAATTTGAATACATATATATATATACTGTATACTGGTTGGTGGTTTTAACCATATTGAATTTATATTAGTCAATGGGAAGGATTATCCCATATATTATATTAATATATACATATTATGAAAAATAAAAGCCATGTTTGAAACCACCAACCAGTATACGTATATGTAGAAATGTATGGCAGACAAAATTGCTTGTTCATTTCATGCCATAGGCAAATTAGGGTCATCCCCCATCGGTATAGGGTAGTCCCCTATCGGTAATGAAGGTTTGAAACCCCTCAGCAAGGCCAAGGTGAAGCAAAACTAAATTAGTATTACAATAATGTTGTCGGTTATTCATACATATATATATATGCATAAATTCCTAAGGTTTTATTCTGATTTATTCTTGGACTATCAAATATGATAATGATAATTATGTATAATGATAATATATAATGGGATCATGTGCGTCTCTCCGAAATACAATGTTTTTCCAAATGATATGTATATATATGTATTAATTGCAAATTGGACATGGTGGGATATTATCTATAGTTGTATATGATACTCGAAGAAAAAAAACAAATGAAAGAAAATTGGTGAAATGGCGGATTTTAACCATCAAAACGGACATATAAAACCAACAATCATGAAATACGATGAGATGTATCATTGGATATTCATAGGGTATCAATGGGATATGATGGGATGTAATGCAACATATAGCCAACAATATAAGGGTGTGTCTGAATAATATACAGTGTATATATGGTGCATTGTCCGTTTTTGTCCAAACCCATATGGAGGAATGGGGGGCACTCGGAACCCACAAAATAAAGCTTCTATTATTGTGTAGGCAAGCCATTGTTTTTGGAGGCTTCCCCATTGAAAGAAACGCCCACACATTCATTAGATGGGGGATGGGCCACATAGTAGATGTGAACTTTTTTGGGCAAAAAAGAAGAGCAATGGATTTGAAGGAGAATAGGAGCTGAGTGAATCACTGAATGTTGAATGATAGTTCTAGCCACTGCAGATACACAACCAATGACCCAAGGGAATATAAAGGCGGTTTTTTAGCAGCAAAAACAGTAAGCTGTCCAGACAAAACGGCTCAAAAATCATATGGCAGCTTCTGGAGAAATCCACTGACGTAACAATTCCATTTCCTCAGGAGCTGCAGGTTTGGGTACCCTCAGCTGATGCAACAAGATATTCATGGAGATGACATCAACCTCACTGTTCAATTGATTCAGCTTCAGTACTCTGAAGTGTGAGTGCATTATTAAGGAAACCTGCAGATTGGTGACTGAAGTTGAATTATTCTCTCAACATGTCGAATGCTTACACCAAACTTTCAAGATTGCTTCGCACCTTGCTGCACAACTTTCTTTGGAACAACCCGTCCGTCATGTCCTGTCCCTTCTGACTTCTGACCAGCCACAACCAGGCCACTATGCAAGCCAGTCCTTAGTCCAGAAATTCAAGCCAGTCTATGTAACCCAGTCTCAATCGTGCAACAGGACTATGATCATTGGGTTGGTTCAAGAGGAAAATCCGTAGGAATGCATGTTGTTTGCCATCAAAAAGGGGGTTGTCCTGCCAATGATCCCTCTCTCCGATTCGATTCTGAGCTGCTAAAGTGCCACAATTGCATGATCACATTTGCTGATCATCCAAGTTTTGAATGCTTATGTCAAATAACTACCCCAAAACCTGACCAACTTCTGACCCAGCTGAAAGTGATTATTGCTATTATTCAGTTCTTAAATACATATTTAGGATAACTCAACTTCAATATCTATATTTGCATATCAATGATATTATTTCTAATTTGGATGTGTCCCGTCTTCCTCAACCCCGGATGGTAGAAAACGCACCACCTCATCACAGGACGCACCGGATCATCGAAAAAAAAAAACTCTCCCGTCATCACAGTGAGTAAGATCGAGATTAATAATCCAACATAATCCAACATGAAAATCTAATTCATCTCTGCGATGTAAGATGAGATCCAATCTAAACTCGATCATCTCCAATTATCCATTTTACTATGCATCACCCGTTGGATGGTTTAAATTTTTAAATGTTAACAATCAGTAGGACACCAACGCGAACGCATGATTTGGAGAGATCACCGATCAGCTGGTGTTCAAAAGTGCTCACCCCCACAAATGTGGTATGCATTATCATGTTTATTATCATACCCATCCCTCATACGGTGGATGGAAGAAATCCTGCACCAGTTGATACGTGGTTTACTCCATTGTTTATAGGGTTTCAACCATCCAAGGTGATGCAGGATTTCTTCCATCCACAGTATCACCATTAACAACTTCACAATGTCATTACTATTACTATCAATATCAAAAATATGAATCATAACGTTACATACTGCGGATGGACAAAATCCTGCATCAGTTGGCAACTCTTGGTAATGGGATTATTTTAGATATCATAATAAGGGGATGTTTACCATCAGCCAACTGGTGCAAGATTTCTCCATCCACAGTACAGGGCATTGACTCATTGACCTTAAACAAGCGTCAAATAGAGCGGCAGCACCAGTTCCAACACGAAACATACGGAGGGAACAGCGAAAAGTTTGAAGAGGACGAAGGCTAAAGCCGACCTGCGCTGGGCGAGTTCCACGATCTTCGGATATCTTCGGGACACTCCCAGGGATTTGGAACTGGGGGTAGCCCCATGACTTAGGCAAGTCACCGAGTATCCCTAGTTTAAAAACACCAAGAAAATGGCAGCTAAAGGCAATCCATAGCTTTATGGCCTGGTGAAATGGATACAAACATATCGCTTCTAACTTGTTTCAGGCTGGTTGTTTGGAAAATTGCAGACCTGATGGCATCTCAGGCTTGGCTTTTGTTTCAAGAATTGAATTTCAATAATTCTGGATAATATCCCCTTCAACGAGAAGCTGAAGCAAAATATGTTGAAAACCTGCTATAGCATAGACTAATCAAAATATAATTAATTAGAAAAAAAAATGTCATCTTATCCTGTCGAGTCGTCCCCATATACTGCTTGATTGAGGATGGGATTCTCCGTTCATGGATTGTGATATTCCATGATATTCCCCATGAAGACGTCGTTAGTATCGTATGAAAAAACTCCCCGAACTCATCATCAACCAACCGAGATAAAAAGCAGCCACTGCTCGGTTGGTGTTCCTCTCTCATACCCTCTGGTAATTTGTTATATAGCTATTGAAAATGGTAATTTATAGTGGATTTACCCAGCTATAAAATGGTGATTTTCCATAGTTATGTTAGTTTACCAGAGGGTACCATATACTGAAAACTGCCGCATGAAGGGTCCATCTCTTTCCCGCCTGAATTGCTGAGACGAATAGACCCCATCGCAGATCACCACGCGTCGATCTTTTGGGCTGAGATGAAGATGTTGGAAGAAGATCCTCCGCGGCGGAGACCAGCGACAAATAGAGTGGGGTACATACGTAAAAAATAGTGGTATAGCACTAGTCTAAAGATGGATGTTGTGTTGATATGGAATAATTGGATATACCCTCTGGTAATTTAACGTAGCTATTGAAAATGACCATAGAAATAGTTGATTTTCCCATTCGAAATGGTGATTTTCCATAGCTATGTAACAGTTTACCAGAGGGTAATTGGTTGATGGTTGAGTCGCACATCTCACCAGTCTTAAATGAGGTTGATCATCCCGTGGTCACCACGACGCCGCACCACCGCCGGCCTGTTCATAAAATCGCTAAGCACCTGGACCGCGAAATGATTGGAATGGGATGATCATTGGGCCCTGATTCACCAACTTGCAGCATTTTAAACATTTTTCAACAACTCACAAGTACGACCCTCATGAAAATTGTGTCTGAAAAATGACTAGAAAATTTGCGTTTCCCCATGTTTTGTTCATGCAATTCTTTCGTGGGCAAGAGTGAGCCAGCAAAGGACTTAGACCATCTTAGACCTATGATGCGTGCTACAAAAACGCAGAGAATTCTTGCTGAAGACCTTGACATGATCTTCAACTCAGAGAGTTGAAGGGACCAGAAGGACAGGAAATGGACAGGAAATGGGCTCAAGCACATGACTTGGAAATATGTAATTCATTATAATGCAAACAATTGTACGTACAGACATATATATATACATACATATGTCCCTCTGGGGCGGACGTTTGCCCAAAGTGTAACAAAGTGTCATTGGGGATTGAGTTTTTTGGGGGTTGCTTAGGATTGATTTACGGTTGTTTTTGGGTTTATTTGGGGGTGGTTTAGATGATTTAAGCGTTGGTGTAGGGGTCTTTATTTAGGGTTTGTTTAGTTGATGTTTGCTTCTATTTAGGGTGAGATATGTTTCTCGGTACGTAAAGGAAAAATC